AGTCGCCATGGTCATGGTGTCTCTTCATAGCAACAAAGTTCTAAGACAACCGCAGAAAGAAGAGGCAAAAGAGAGAGAAAAACAACCTCACAAAATAGCTTTGTGTGTTGATTTTAACTCAAACAGGCAACTCTGGTATACAAAGGATATCTCTTTGGATACGCATACGCACTGGAGAATCCATGGGTCAGTTCTTCTCTTTCAGGTTTAAAACACATAAGAAAGATCCTAGCTGAAGAACAATAAACTGGCTAGCACAAATGAGAAAAGTCAAAGCACAGACCAACAATGGGCTCCAAAAGATAAACATTTTAAAAGGCACAAAACAGTGTTATTAACATCAATTCATGGTGCTCAGGCAAGAGATTTTCAGGATGTTTCTTTCAGGCAGTTTGATTTGGTATATCATAAAAATAAATACAAACTGCAAAAACAGTGCAAGTTTGTGTGCATAATTCTGACCCTTTTAAAACTCATGTACTTACTCACAGAATGGAATGTTAACAAGGGCAGGCCTGAATATGATTAGAACTGATGTTCTCTGGGTCAAGGAAATAGCTCGTAGGCAGAGAGGCAGAGGGCCACACTTATCACAATGTCTCTATGGAGTCAACTTCACAGTCTCCTCTCTACAAGCTGACACAGCAACAACACCCACGAGCCTGAGTACTTCCTTGAAAGCATGGTTAGAAAGGATTTTCTCTGTAACAATGACTACTAGTAATTCACAGAAATAGTTCTCCTAGGAACAAAGGCAAAGGCAAGTTTACCTGTGCTCCCCTACCACACCACCATTGCTAAAATCTAGAGCCACAGCTAGATGAAGCAAGACTCCTTGCCATCTGTTGTGCCGGCCTAGTTAGTCTTTGATGTACAGGGTATATTTTAACTTTCAAAAATAGTGAAAATCTTTAGCTGAAAGCTCAATCAGAACTTTACATTTCAAACCAACTTTAATCTTCACTGTATCTAAGGTTTCTAAACAAGAGAAAAGGGTGTTAATCATTCATGTCTGTCTGTCTCAGACCATTAAAGAACTCACATGGAAACTTTGCAAACATACAGGCATGTAGAAACCATTATACCTCCCTTTACTTCAGGATTTATTAAGTGATGACACATGTTGAATTATCTTTCTCTTTTCATGCATATGCGTGTATATGTGGTGAAGATGGTGTGCAGATATGTTCACATGTGTGTAGAATCCTATTAATGTGTGGTTATGCATGCAGAGATCTGAAGCTGAGACCACTTGTCTTCCTCTATCACTTTCCATGTTATAGATTGCTCACCATTTCTAGCTAGCCTAGTTGGCCAGCTTGTCCTAAGGATCTCCTGGATGATTCCCAGGCCATTGCACCATATGGAAGTTAAATACTTCCATACGCTAGTCTCAAAATCTAATGCAGTAGTTCCTTAATAACACTTGAAAAGATTTTCTTCTACTGATTTATTGTACCAGTAAAGGGGGGGAGGGGGCGGAAATAATGTCTTTGCTGGATTTTGGATACAGCTGAAGAGAAAAGCAAATACAGAATCCATAACAAACTTACCAGCTAGAATCAAGATAAATACCTACGTGTCTGTAAATGGCGGGCGTCACTCCTTGCCACAACTTTAGGAAGCCTTCCTCCTGGACAATTCCCAGGGCAGTGCGCACCATGCCCCTGTAAGGGGCGGATTTCACTGCACCATCTCCCAACCTAGCAAGGGCAGCTTCTCCTTGCATCTGGAGTCGGGTTTTTGTAAGATCGAGGGGAAAGGTTGCTAATGAAACAGAAAACAGATGAAGGGGAGGAAACCCCCAAAACATTCAGACAAACCAACAAAAACCTCTACAAGCAGAGGGTTAGCATTCCCCTAGGATTTGGGGGCTCTGAAGTAGGAGGACATAGCAGCGTCAGCTAGGGAACCTGTGGAAACATTTCCAAACCCATCCCCACACAATCTGACGTCAAAGACGGACAATTTAGAAAGTACAATCTCACGCCTTCCCAAATCTAAGACTCCCTGCCCCAAAGCATCCCCAGACACAAGGCCAAAGCAAAATAATCCCACAAAAGTAGGACAGCCCTTGATCTCTTTTCAATAAAAAAATTAATCTCCAACCCACTTCAGTTTTCCCAGTGAGAAACAGCGTTGAGTATCCTGTTCTGTCTCGTTGACCACAGCCACTATCATCTGAGATCTAATACAAATTTAGAACAAATGTGAAGCGGAATTCTATGATTTCATAGGGTCTTCTTCCGTGAGAATGAATCAGAGAACTGACGTTTGAGATGCAGAAGACGCAATGAAGTTGGAATGTCTTCTGGATACAGAGGTAGCAACGTTCTTCAAACTGAGGCAACTTCTGAACTGATAAGCTTTATACGTGGCCTATTCACAAGTTCTGTGTAAGTCCCAATTTTAGCTAACTGGAAAATTTTTATATGTTGAATTAGAGATAGTTTATTTTGATCTGAAAGCATGTTTTAGCTACTTGACCCATAATACACTTCATACACACAATGCCCTGAATAACTCTTAAGAGGGATATGGAGTCAAGTTCACGAACACCGCTTATAGTACATAAAAATTTTCAGTGACTGCTGCCTAATACACAATCCATGAATACCTTTTCTAAGACAAGGGGGGGGGAGAGGGAGGGAGAGAAAGAGAGAGAGAGGGGTGTGGAAGAGGTATGTGTTATATATTTCCTTTAGGTTTTGGGAATGTTAGTATCTAACCAATAATGTCCCTAAGAAGATGTTATCTTATCTTGCACACAAGTGGAGTCTTAAAAAGACTCCAGTGGTGTACACACACACACACACACACACACACACACACACACATACACCTTAAAATGTATCTTATCAATATACAAAACTAAACAGAATATGAAGAGGTAGAAGTAGGAGCCTCTACCTAAGTACAAATTGTGCTTCTCAAAACACAGGCTTTGCTTGATTTTCATTTCAGTTACCTCCTGGCTGAGGCTCTTGTGCTGGATAGGTGTGTGCTCCCCTTTACCGACTAACTTTGACTCCTTGGCCTTCCATCCATATTCCTCACCCCATTCTCTCCAGCAAGTCTCACAGGAATGTTTCTGTACAAGCTGCTGTGCTTCAGGGAGGCGTCAAACCGTTAAGGTAGCTCATCCCTCAGCTGACTCATTTTAGACATCTTTAGAAGTTGGTGAATTTTATTTAGGAAGATTAATGATAAAAAAAAAAATGTACTGTTAGCCTTGACTAAAAAGAAAACGAAGAGATGGGCCAAAGGGCAAGAAGGGAGGTGTCTAAAGGGTCAAGCAAAAGATAGTGTGCTGGCTGAGCTAGGCATAAAAATAAATAAACCTCTGCTAGAGAAGGCTGAGTAACATTTTCAAATGACTAATCCACCAGAGACATTCTCCTTTCTTTCTTTTTTTTAATGGACAAGAAAATGTAAGGGTAATCTGAAATAGCTTCACAGAGACCACAGGTTATTCTCAAAACCTCCCTGCCCTCTTCGTGAAACAAACAAACAAACAAGCAAACAACAAAAAACCACACCATCTGTTCATGCCATGGCACCATAATCCACTCTGAGTGGTCTGTTTATTTTTTGTTGTTTGTTTCTTTGGACTCACATAGGCAGATGGGTCTGTTTTTTTTTTTCTATGATGTTCTTGTGATACACAGAAATAGCTTCTCTGCAACAGGCAGCAACTGTACATGTCTTTCTCTGCATGTGCCCCCCCCCCACATACACACACACTCCCAAGGAGCCTGGAAGAAGGCCACACTGGGGTCTTTGCAACTGTATATCCATGACCCACTACCGCATAAACTGTAATAATGCCCCAATTAATAGCTGCCCTTGCCTTGCATTTACCACATATAAAAATTACTTCTTAGGGTTCCGCTTATAGAAAAACACGGTATAGACTCAGAGAAGTGGTGTGGCTGACTGCCTTTAAGCTGATGTTCCAGAGGAATGGTTAACAACTGAAGTCCCTCAAGGTAGGACTCACCACTCCCCCCCCCCCCCCCCAACTCGAATCTTAAAAAGACTCTGAAGCTGCATGCGACTATAAACCATAAAAAAAAGATCCCAGGGAGGATGAAAAAAAACTGTGAATAAATGGATTATGATGAATTATGGTTCTATAAAGGTCATCCTTACAGAAGGGGAAATGTTTCCTAGAGAGGTATACGGCTCATGAAGAGCCCAAGAGTACTCACTCAGGCATAAGACAACATCCCTGGGGATGGGAAGACAAGGACCCTGGACACCTCCATTCCATGCTCCTCCCGAAGCTGGCCTACTGGGCACCTGACCACATCCTTGCGAGGGTCCAACCTCTGAAGATGCTCCAGCCTGGAGTGAGGCTGCCCGCCCATCCCTCCCCCAGCACGATACCGCGGCCACTCGCCGGGGAGGCCGAGGCGGGGGCGGCCGGTACCTAGCTCGGCCACGGTTGCGGCGCAGCCGGACAGTAGGAACTTGCTCGTCCGGGGCCATCTCTGCGTGAGCGGCAGCAGCTTCTCCTCCTCGGGGACAGGCATTCAGCAGCAGGTCAGGACCACTGGGCACCGCTAGTCGCCTGGGAACCTGCCACCCTGCCGGCGCCGCCCCTTTTCAGCACAAGAGAGGTCAGGGAGGGACCATGTGCCTCTATTACGCTCGGCAAAGGCGCCGCCCGCCTGGTAGCTGGACCGGTCCTGCGGCCTCAGGTGCCGAAAAACAAAGCCGCACTCAAGAGGCTTCTGGGAAATGTAGTTCTTGGGATGCAGCGACTTCTCTGATTGGCTGGTAGCTAGGCGCCCACTGCAAACTGCTAGTTTACTCGAGCTCCACCGCCACAGGGCGTGTTCCCGCCCACAGGTCCCAACCCAGGCCAGACCAGTTCAACTCTCAGCCTTTTTTTTTTTTTTTGATAGAATTTGAAAGCAATGCGAAGGTGGAAGGCAGCCACAATGCAAAAATCACACAAAAACTAGGGCGGGGCAAAGGAGCTACAGTTATGCAAGAGACTTTGTTTCCAAAGTTTCTCTGCTCAAAGTTCGCAAGACTGGGTGCATTTCCCTCAGTCGGCAGGAGAGTAGGAAATGCTCCTGGAGAAGGACGTTTTTAAACGTCTGTTGATTCTCGAAGATGGGCATTATGGAGTTATTCTCACCAATAGCAATCGCCGTCCTGGGAAGCAGCTGTGCTCTTTTCTTATTCTCTCGGTGGAAGAATTGGCATGGACCCCCGTGTATCCAGGGCTGGATTCCTTGGGTCGGAGCTGGATTTGAGTTTGGGAAAGCCCCTCTTGAATTTATAGAAAAAGCAAGAATTAAGGTATGTAGCTGTGACAAGGAGTTTGGAGGGAGATAGTATTTCCTTTTTAAAATTTTCTTTTATTACACTTAGTGTTGGAACACTGGGTATACATATACTTCCTGCAGTTCGTCTCCTCTGTTTCTCTACACAGCTTGTTGGAAGTAAATATATCTTTTGTAATATATATATATATTACAAACATATATAACATATATGTAATATATATATAAATATATCTGTTAGTAATTCCCTGCAGTTAATTTTAAGTGCGTGTTTATTAACATGCAGATATAAGCTTATAGTTTTTTTTGGTTTTGTTTTGTTTTGTTTTGGGTGGGAGGGAGGCGAGATAAGAGTTTCCATGATTTCAGTTTGTGAACACGAGCAATAAATTTGTATCACAAGTAGAGGTAACTCTACGATTTTATAAAACTTGATTTACTAAATTGATCTTTACAGATGAAGGCTCTCCAATTTTTTTTCTTTCTCTCCCCATCCCTACCACAAGATACTAGTTTTACTGATGAGTGAGTCTCTACCTCCCTTACGACCTGCTCTGAGGAGATAAGTAACGGATACCACTGTTAGGGTTTTTATTCTTAAAGCAGCTGCTGAATGTTAAGCATTTTAGAGAAGACATTTTTACTGGTTGGCCTTTTAATTTTTATTCATATTTTAGCTGCCAAGATCTTGCTGTAGTTTTGGTTGGGAAGACGGCTTGGTGGGTGAAGTGCTTTCTGCAGCAAGCACAAGAGCCTGAGTCCACTCCCCAACCCCTCCAGGTTCAGTGAGAGAGACTTTGTCTCAAAAAATAAGATGGAGGACCAGCAAGAGAGCTCAGTGGGTAAAAGTGTCTGCTGCCAAGCCTGACATCTTGTGATTGAACCAAAGAACCCACATGGTGGAAGGAAAGAATCAACTCTCTCAGATTGTTCTCAGACCTGCACATGGGTGCTGTGATGTACGCATGCCCATATACATATAAACACAATATATGAATATTTCCTTATCATTTAGTATTTTTATTAGTCTCTCTCTCCCTCCCTCCCCCCCTTCTCTCTCTCTCTGTGTGTGTGTGTGTGTGTACACTCATGTGTAGGTGCTCCAATCTATGCCTGAAGGAGCACATGGAGTTCAAAGATTTGCACCAGGGTGTCTTCTTAATTCGTTTTCCCACTATATTTTGTTGGGACAGGGTCTCTCAAATCTGGAGCTCATCCTGGCTGATTAACCAGTCTCTGGGAACTGCCTGTCTCTGCCCCACCCCCCTTCTGGAGAATTAGAGATGCAAGCTTCTATGCTTGGTTTTTACCTGGGGTCTGGGGATTTGAACTCCGATCCTCACTTTTGCACAGTGAGCACTTTGTCCACTGAGCCATATTCTAGTCTTTAATGGTTGTATTTCATCAAATAAGGGTAGGATATTTTACTTAAATTCAGTAGTTGGGTGATACGGGTTGCTGCTAACTGCTTTTCATTGTTTGAACCAATACCTCAATGGATATTCTTATGTGTGTGTAGTTGTGCATTTAAAACTTACTTGTGTTGAGGCCTGCCCTCCTGGCATAGCTGTAGCCATTTTGTTCCATGCCTGCCAGATATTTCAGATTGTTGCTGTAATATGCCTGCCAGTCATTGACACAGAAAAATAACTTGACTCAGAGTAAGGTCGTGCTGACAACATACCCTGTTAAGAACTGTATGAGGTTTGTTAATATGTGGGGCTTCAAAGGGATGATTTGGTCTCCCCAGTAGAGCACTGGGTTTGAGATAGCCGGAGACTGAACAGATAGACCATTGCCTGGTGAGGGAAGGCATGCATCTCCCCACGCTCCCGGATTCCAGACTCCTCCCACATGTGACCTACACCTCCATGAGCCTGCATCTTGCAGACACATTTGGCTCAAAGTAGCTCCTCTCAGGGAGGCTTTGCATCACCATCCAAGTGTAACTAACAGAGACTTCCATATTCATGAGTTATCTAAAGGCGAGGGGGTGTAGCTAATTAAGTCATTCCTTTTCCCACCCCTTCTTCCCCCTCCCCTATTTAAGCCAGCTCCCCCTGGCTTTTCAGGGGGCGCGCACATCCCGATCCGACTGTCACGCCATGAACAATAAACTTCTTAAATCCATGGACTCCACCTGTCTTCTGGGGCCTGCCACTGTCAAAGCTTCCAGCCTCTGAAACCTTGGACTTTCTAGTGTGTGTGGGACCCGCCTGGACCTGCCAGCATGAAAAGCCTCCGGGACTCCACAGTGCTCCCCCCCCTCACCCTCACAGGTCTCTGCCGAGAGTGCTTTTTTCCCACATTAATCCTAAGAAATTCCACCATATAAGAATCACTTAGGACCCATCAAAATAAAGATCGATATGAACTGTAATGTTTAAAATGGCTTGAGTCAGGCCAGACCACTGGGCAGCACTTCCAGCACCTAGGCATGAGCCCATTGGGAAAACCAGTTTTTCCGGTTTTAGCCTTTCTAAACTGGACCTGAGAAATGTCCAGAGTGAAGCTTTTGGCTCTGGAGCCTGAGCTGTTGCTCTGGTTGATCAGTCAGAATGTTTGTTCAACAAACCATCTCTGTTTAACTGAGATCAGCGTTCATGTCCTTTGTGGGGGTGACTCCTGGACTCCAACAATTTGACTGTTTCCTCAGGATAAACTCCAAAGATAGATTTACCTGTGGGGAAATGCACAATTTATTAATTTTTATGATTGTATTGTGTTAATATTGTACAGCTTTGAAAAAGATGTACTATATACTTGTAATCTTTGTTTAAACATATAAATTTGCTTATATCTGCACCATACCGGATACCATAATTATGTGAAATGTTTACTAGTCTAGTACATGAAAGATAAAAAAGGATCTTTCCTAAAAGTATTTCTTTGTTTCCCACAGCCTTCCACGGGCATATAAGTTTAGTAATTTTTAAGGAATGTTTGAGAAGGCTATCTCAGATCAAATATGTGTGAGGGCTCTGTAGTTTTCTGGGTCAAATGAAACAATAAGAACTTACCATTATGTTATGTGACACTGTGTGTGTGTGTGTGTGTGTGTGTGTCCTTTCTCTAGTACAAAAAAGCTACGGCACCATTGATGTTTGAATCCTAGAAGGTAATTTTAATAAGACTTATTCTTATTACATGGTCAGGATAATAAAAATTCCATCAGAGACCTTTAAACCATGTAAGCTAAAAGACTCAAAAAAGGAAAGATCACCCGCTCACCCACTCCCTAACCAACACACAAACAAAACACAGAAGGAAGAAACAGCCAGTCCCTGAGTTCCTGGTTCAGGGGAAGACTCTCAAGAAATCAGATGGGAGCCAAGGAGGAAAACACTCGTGTTAACCTGTGTTCTCTATATGCTTATACCCCCACACACATGTACATGTGAGCATGTAGACACAACTCTAGTGGAAAATGCTGCTCATTCGGTGCGCATTCCAGCCTAATTCTCAACTGCCATTCCCAAGCTCTGTAACACTGACTCTTCTCTTACCCATCATCAGTAGCTGAAAATGCAGTTCACTGTGGTTGCTGGGGCAGGCCAAGGACTCCTGGGTGCCAGAGTGGGGCTTTACTCTGGTGTACACTAGTTTTTCAAGCCCCCCACTGAATATGAATGTCAGGATGACACAGGGCGAGGTAAAAGGTAGTGAGGCAGTATTCTCACAATCAACAAAACGAGCATAATAAATAATAATAAATAAAACAGAAAAGACAAGGCACATTTGAAGAGGGCCAGGTGTGAGCTAAGAATGAAACTGCCTGTATGTTACCTGGGACTGTAACCTACAGTCCAATCTACAGATGACGTAGGAGATCAAGGACAGTATTGTTGGTCCTGTTTAGTTTTCTTCTCCATAAAATTATGACTCTGAAGAAGAAACCTTGAAGGTTCAATGCACAAGCTTCAAGGTAGAGAAGAGAGTGTTAGAATAAGCCATTAGCCACAGGTCAGAAGAAGACTGGATTTAAGCTATGGGTCATTAGCCAAATTAGACAATGTGGTTGGGATATTTCTCAGAAAGAGAAGTTCATATGTGAGGTCAAAAAGGCAGGCACACAATTACAGTCTGTGCTGCATATGTGCTGTAGCTGCATATGTGTGGCTAAACATACAATAATGCTTACAATCACTCAAACAAATATTTAGGTAAAAGTACAAATCAATAGGTTTGATCTGTATTTTCCAAGAACACCAAAATGCCAATTAAAATTGCCAGAGATCTAGCTGGGTGGTGGTGGTACATGCCTTTGTAATCTCAGCACTTGGGAGGTAGAGGCAGAAGGAGAGGCAGACCACTCTCTAAGTTCGAGGCCAGCCTGGTCTACAGAGTTCCAGGATAACGAGGGTTACATAGGGAAACACTGTCTTGCAAAACCAAAATAAATAAATAAATAAATAAAAATTGGAGATCCCCTTAGAGCAGTGGTCATGGATTGGCAAAGCCAATAGTAAAAACATCACTTGTGTTCAAATTGAAATCCAGGAATACTTTTAAGTTCTCTGGAGCTTTATTTTAGATTCTGTGGACATTATTCTAAAATTTAGGTGGAAAAGTCAAAGGAATGGAATAACTAAAATGGGTTTTGGAAAACAAAACAAAACAACAACAACAATAACAACAACAACATCAAAAAGGAATTGTTTCTCTCAGTTTTAATGCTTGATAGTCATCAAGACTGGTGCCGCCAGAGGAATAAACACAGGGATGAATGGAACAGAATATAGAATTTGGAAAAGCATTGACACAAGTGTTCTCAGCAGACTTGGGGCAAAGACACAGAAGCAATTTAATGCAGCAAAGGCAGCCTTTTCAAACACTGCTGAAATGGTTACATGCCCATGAGCCAGGAGGAAATAAAAACCCAACATTTTACAAAACAAAAGAGGAAAGTCAAACGAAGACTCACATCTTGAGAAAAAAAAAATTAACTCAAGATAGATCCCTGTCTTAACCAGAAACATAAACAAGAAAACATTCAGAAAGAAGAGAATATCATCCCTCGTTGGGTCTAGGAAATATCTCTGTGTTTGGCACTCATAGGGCAGCCTATAAAAGGAAGAGCTGATGAACTGGACTTTGTCGAAATCAGGTACCTCTCTTTGTGACAGAACCCACGAGGAGGACAAAGAGAAAATCTTCTGAGTGGCATAAAGTATGTGTGAGCCCCATGCCCCATGGAGGACCAGTATCTCCTGTGTAGAAAGAGCCATGGACAAAGACAAAGTACAGACCGATTAGAAAGCAGATGCCATGATGAGGATTTTCAGATGTCCACAAGGACAGTGACAGTCACAATGAGACTCTCACTACTATCTGCTAGAGATGCCTGATGGTCCAACCACTCTGGAAAACACGTCAGCCATTTATTAGCAGAACTCGCTGCTAGTCCTGTAACTTGGCGTTTAAGTTTCTCATGAAGAAATGGAAACTCAGGTTTGAATGGCAACCTGGCAGCAGCGTTATCCATGATTCCTTTTTTACAGTACCCTTGGAATAGGGCCCTGAGTGTCCTTCAGAAACGTCCTTCAATGGTCTGTAGAATCCTGTCCAGGAATGTGTAGAGATGAAATCTTGCTACACAGAGAATCTAGATGACTCCAGAGAGTACTGTTGATGCTAAAAGCTACTCTCAACTGTTTGAATGCCGTCTGACTCCATTTATGTAGGATCTTGAAATTCAGTTACAGAATGAGGTAGATGAAAAGTCCCTAAGAGTTAGGGAAGAGCTCGGAGTGAGAGAGGAGCTAGTGTCATTATAGAAGGGTGACAGGACAGGACTTGGTGGTGGTGATGGAGTATCTTGACTGCATCTATGCTTCTAGCCTGGATGTTGTTCAAGCTATTAACACCAGGGACAAGAGAGTACTGAGAACTTGTGAGGTCTCTGCAGTGTTTCTCATGTCGGACCTCCTTCTTTATGTTGATCCCACATTACAAACTGAGTTTTAAATGCATAAGAACTGCTTTAAAACTTACTGGATGAACTTGTCTTTGCTTCCTAACGCCAAACCTGCTGCCATTAAATTAAGAACAGCAGAACAAAGGAGAAACAAAGCAGAAAATCACTTCTCTAGGGTTTGTGGCTCTACACGGAATGCTTTTCACTATGCAGAATACTAGAAAGAGTTCTTTTAAACAGCACCAGCTTGGATCTGCAGTAATCTTGGTGGCTCATTGTGTTTGAGCTTGGTCTCCACTTGAAGTCCCTAACTAAGCATATCATAGAAGGCCACTTTCCTTATAGAAAGTTAAGAATGAACATTTAAACACAGCCTTAATAATGAGAATAATCCACTTTCTTTTAAGAATTGACTAGTAAACAGTTGTAGGTAACTAATACTGGGAGGCAGTGTTTATGTGTGGGTCTGTATGAGAGAAATGAGACTTTTGTTGGTGGTGTGTGTGTACGTGTGTATGTATGTGTGTGTGTGTGTGTATGTGTGTGTTTTCAATGTCCAGTGATTCTTGAGCTTACAGTTTTTCTAGTAGCACCCAACACTTACTGTCACAAGTGCCAGCCTCCTGATTGGTGTGCAAATGAGTAACACTGAAGTAATGATTCAAGTAAGTGATGTCTTTAGATAGTTATGAGGCTTAAAATGGGCCGTAAATCCGTGATGGCTCATTTTCATGATATGCGGTTTGTTGCCAACATCTCTAATGGATGCTAGCGCATAATTAGAACTCTCTGAAAATGGCAACCATTTCCTCCAATAATGTCATAAACTTGGTACTAGTTTCCTTGCTGTTGCTGTGATAAATCACCGGCCAACAGCAAGTTAGAGGAGGAATGGACTTTTTTGGTCTGTGCTTCTAGACCACAGTTCATCACTGAGCGAAGTCAAGGCAGGAACTCACAGGTGGAACTATGGAGGAACACGGCTTGCAAGTTCGTGTTCATCCTGTACAGCTTAGGTCTACCTGGCTAGGGAATGGTGCCGCCCAGAGTTGTCTGGGTCTTCCTACATGAATAACAAAATTAGACAGTCCCTTTCCTCCAAAACACCCACGGGCCATTATGATCTAAAGAGTCTCTCCACTGAGACTCAGTTGATTCTAGGCTTTCATTAAGTTGACAGTTGAAGCTAACTAGTGTAGACTGCCAGAAGACAGACCTCGATCAGGAAATAACGTGAGTGAGAAGGAAAAAAAAATTACTACTGTATCAGGAAGTTTGTGAAATTTGTGAAGTCTGAACTCTGATGTCAGGGAAGAGGAGTGTCACAGAAAGCCAGGAAGACAAAGGCCAAGAGAACACTAGGAGTCCTTGAGAAACAAGACATGTGATATGTACCAGCAAACAGGCTACTAGACAGGCAGTCACCCAGGCAAATGCTAGCACATGTCAATATGTGATGGCTTATCCAGGCATGCACACACACATACCAGCGCACAGCTTACAAGTAGGCACATGGACCTACACAGGGTCTGGCAAAGGCAAAAGATGACTGGTCAGTGACCCCATAACCATACTTGTATAGAATCAGACAAAGTTGACAATCTTTCTACAATGATTACATAACAGACTATATTACTGCTTATTTTTGGCTTCTCTGAACAACCAGTGTCAGTCAATTTCTGCTGACTCATAGGCCCCTTATGCCTAGTTACTAGCCATCTTGGCTCAGGCCTGGTATCCATGTCAGCACCATGATGTCTAAACATGAACAGGCCTCTGAGGCCTTCTGTTTCCTTAAGCTTTGTATACTTCCTTAAGTATTGAGCTGTGTGTTGCTTATAAGCTTCTTCATATCGTGAATATAAGATTGAAAGATCTCTACAGTGGTGTATAATTTTTCAATTGTTTATATTTCCTAATAATCAAGAAAAGGAAGATAGGATAGATATCTTTTTTAAAAAATAAGTGATTTATTTACTTACATCCCAAATACTGCAATTACAGAGTTCCTCCCCCAATCCCCCTTACTCTTTGCCTCTGAGAGGGTGGGGCCTGTGATAGGTATCTTATTATATACATTTTATGATAAAATGAATTAGGATTCATATAAATGTGACAATAACAGATTTTCTAATAACTACTGCATATAACCATATTTTCAAATTTGGGTCATTACTTCATCATTGGTATTTTTCATTTTGTTCTTAAGGCCTTGAGAGAGAGAAGGGGGAGGGGGATGGGGAAGGGAAGGGAGAGAGACACAGAGAGAGAGGTGTTCATGTGTGCTTGTGCACTCATGAATGTGAACATGTGTATAGGTACCTGTGGAGGGCAGAAGAGGGCATCAGATCACCTGGAGTTATACAGATGACTGTTGGACTGTCCAATGTGGCTGCTAAAAACTGAACTTGGAGTCTCTGTAAGATCAGTACCCATCCTTAATCACTGAGCCATGGCTCCAGTCTAAGTATTGGGATCCTGGAGGAAAACTGTGTTCTCCATAACCCATGATTTAGAGACGCTTACTAATATACCTGTGTTTTTGTGTTTTATTCTAGTATGGACCAGTCTTTACCATCTTTGCTATGGGAAACCGAATGACCTTTGTTACTGAAGAAGAAGGAATCGATGCGTTTCTAAAATCTAAAAATGTAGATTTTGAATTAGCAGTACAAAGTCCTGTCTATCACACAGGTGACTGATATTTTTAGATAGATCCTTTGAACTGTAGCATTGAAACCTAAGAGTAGTTTTAAGTAAGATCACATCCCTAGTCTGCTGTCAAGAATAGTGAAGGACAATTGTTTTGTTTTTAAAGTAGGGCTAGAAGGCAGAAAAGAGTACGCGTGATAAACTGGGTAATTGAAAAGGAAATTATTGAGAGTCTAATATATTTAGGTTTCATTTAGACATATGAATGAGTCAGGCTTCCCCCGGTGGTGCATTTTAGAGACTCTTTGGACCCTCAGTGTGTTATAGCACCTAGGTGTTCTTAACGACAGCAGAAGGCTGAGGACACAGTCTTCCACAGGCTTCAGCTCTTGGCTTGATTGTACTCTGCTTCTCTAGAGTAGTGTTTCTCTGTTTAATCAATGAATAATTGTTATGGCTTCTCCTGATAGTGCCTAAACAGTCAAGAAGGCTATCTGGGTTTATTTCTCCCGTCTTACAGCCTCTGTCTGTCTTTGAGCCTGCTTGCTATTACTGAAGAATGTGTTCCTGGTGTGGCTTTTTCTCCCCAGGATGCAGATTCCTGTGTATGCACCATGCATCCTTCCCAGAATGTCTGCCCTGGCTTCTTTTTGCCCTAAAGGTAGTGTCTCTCTTCTGCCCTGTTTCTTCCTTCCTCCCTCCCTCTCTTTTCCTTCCTTCCTTCCTTCCTTCCTTCCTTCCTTCCTTTCTTTCTTTCTTTCTTTCTTTCTTTCTTTCTTTCTTTCTTTCTTTCTTTCGATTTCTTAGAATTCTGTAATATTGTACTTACTTATGCATTTCTTGGTATTAAGATAAAAATCTGTCAAAACCTCTGAGTGATTAAAAGTATAGCTAATTTTTTTCCTTGAAAGATCACAGTATACAGGATGAATTCACTGTTCTCTAGTGTTTGTTGGTAGCTGAGCTATGGAGCACCTGATCGGTGAATATAAATATTTTGAAGGCTAGTTTTCTATGTGCTAACATTTCTTCAGCAAAAGATACTAACTTATATGCTAGAGGCATATGGCTATTATCAGAACGTTCTCCTAGGTCTCCCCTGTAACCTCTCACATTTGATCATTTTTGTCAAACAGATAAAACCTGTTAAAATTTACTCTTGGGCCAGCATCTCATTCTTATCAATCATTCCACCACTGTAATCAGAAAAAAAAATCGCAATTTAATTCTATTCATACAAAATAGAACCTGAGCATTTCAGAATCATAAAATACAAATTATTTTAAAAGATGCTTTAAAGTCAATCAAACTAGATAAACTAGATTAAAATGTTTTAGAAAGTAGCCAACAACAACAACAATAAAAACCAAAACTCTAGCCCCTCCCGTGACCTAACCTCAAGTTGATGTTGTAGAAGGTAGAGGAATATTTCTGTAAGGAAGTGTTTTAGAGAGACATCATGGTTATTCTGTTAGAACTAGAAGGGAGAAATTTGGGCATATTGGGGTGTGTGTGCGTGTGTGTGTGTGTGTGTGTGTGTGTAGAAATGGGGGTTTGTATCAGAGAGTAGTGAATGTGCTTAGTGTAAATAATTGTTGGCTCCCTGCTGGCAGGTCCCAGCAAGAGGAGAGAGATCCCAGTCCCGCCAGGTCTCTCAGGGGCTGAGTGGGAGGGTGAGTGTCTACGGCCCAAAAGAAACACCAGCCCAGGAGTCTTGTTGAAGCAGGGACTCAACTTGAATGTATCAGCCTCTCGCTTATATACTCGGAGGATAGGGAGGAGGAGTTTTGGTGGGGTGAGATGACGTAGGGGGCAGGGAAGGGTGACAGAGGGTATGGGGTGACTGACAGGGCCGATGGCAAAACTCTATATCAGCAACAACAGGTCAGAGGTAGAGCCAAACCAGTCTTGTTGAGTCACCCCAGTACGGAAGTGACTGAGATAGGTCTCAAAACTCAAGCCAGGTTCGGGTTTGTCCACAAGGCCCAAACCAGGGCCAAAATGGGACCCAACAAATAATAGCATTCAGAGTTCTGAGAATTTTAGATACTCTGCATTTTCTTTCCTTCTTAAAATTTATTCTGTTATTTATGGCATCCCAACCTCAGTCTCCCCTCCAGTCCCAGTCCACTCCTCCTTCATTCGCTCCCCCACCCCCAGAAAAGGGCAGGCCTCCCAGGAATATCAACCAAACATGACGTATCAAGTTGCAGTAGGTACCTTTCCCTGAATTAAGGCTGGAGAAGGAAACTAAGTAGGAGGAAAAGCTTTCCCAAAGTAGGCAAGAGTCAGAGATAGCACCCAGTCCCACTGTTAGGAGTTCCGCATGAACACCAAGCTACTCAACCATAACATGTATGCAGAGAGTCTAGGTCAGAACCATACAGGTTCCTGGTTGTCTGTTCACTCTTTGTGAGCCCCCATGAGCCCCAGGCTGGTTGATTCTATGGGTTTTCTTGTGGTATCCTTGACACCTCTGGCTCCTACAATCCTACCTCCTTCCTCTTCAGCAGGGTTCCCCAAGCTCCGCCCAGTGTTTGTCATCTCCTCATCTGTTTCCATCAGTTGCTGGATGAAGCTTCTCTGCGATAGGCACCAATCTATGTATCATTAGGAATAATTTCATTGACTTATTTATTTATTTATTTTTTAATGTATGAGTACTCCACATATACTACTGCCTGCCAAAGAGGGGATTAGATCCCTTTATAAAAATGGTCATGAGCCACCATGTGGTTGCTGGGAATTGAATTCAGGACCTCTGGAAGAGCAGCCAGTGCTCTTAAGCACTGAGCCATCTCTCCAGCCCTGACTTTTTTTTTTTTCCTGGTCATGTTTGTTCTATCCTAGGTTTCTAGGCTATTCATCCTCCGGTTCCTGGCCCTCCAGGCAGTGTCAGGGCTCTCACTTGTGGCATAGGTCTTGAGATGGACCACACCACTTGAGTTGACCACTCCCAGAATTTCTGTACCATCTTTATCCTGGCACATCTTGCAGGCAGGACAAATCATAGGTATATAATTTTGATGGTGTCCCAATCCCTCCACTAGAAGTCTTGCCTGGTTACAGGAAATGGCTGGTTCTGGCTCCCTATCTGCCATTACGATGAGTCTTAACCAGGGTCACCCTCATAGATTCCTAGGAGTTTCCATTGTACTATGTTTCTACCTCATCCCGAAATGCCTCCCAACCCCAGTACTCTCTCCCTCCATCATCCCCCTGCCTGATCCCTCCTGTTCCAATACCCATTCCCCCACCCTTCAGTTCAACTTAGAAATACCTTGAATGTAGATCTGGAGGTAGAGGGGCTAGAAAGATCATCCCTATCACTCACTCATAGATGACCTTGCAAACAGATTTAATGATTTTATGTGCCTTGAGGATGCTGCCAATGTCTATAGTAGAGGCATTTGTATTATATCCCTGGAGGGATCATTGCCTCTTTTGAAAACAGTTTCCTTTGTCTTTAGCATGGATTCCAAAGAATGTCTTCTTGGCACTGCATGAAAAACTGTATGTCTTGATGAAAGGGAAGATGGGAACTTTCAACATACATCACTTTACTGGTCAGCTGACTGAAGAATTTCATGATAGACTGGAAAGTTTAGGCACTCATGGAACAATGGACCTGAATGACTTTGTAAGGTAAATTGTGGTTGTTCTGATCTTCAGATAAAAACTTGAAACAAGCATGTTGGATTTTAAAATTCACTTGGTAGGTTAATGTACTCTAACTAGGCCATTATGAGATTTTTTTTTAAAAAACTCATTTTAATTGTAATTAATGGGCAGTTTCTAGTTGAGCACTCTCAGTTGATGGTGAGCAAATCAACCAGCAGTCATTTGACAGAAGCAAACTAATTTCTCCTTAGTGGTTGTAGCAATTACATGTTTGCCATATAGAATTCCTGCTCATAATTGCCATTTGCTGCTTATTGTGTTATTAGGATAGGAAGAGTTGAGAGGAAAGAGGAGAAGATGAAGTCAGAAGTGGGTGAGAGGGACCCAGGAGATGTTTGAGAAACTTAAGAAAGAAGCCCAGTGAAAGTCAGTATGGGCATCAGGACCTTGGGGGTTTCTGAGAAAGAAAACAAGGGCGTAAGAGACAGGAGAGGCAGGGAGGAGCCACGCAGGGAGTTAGCCATGTTCACAGGCTCCCTGGAAAAGGTGAAGGTTGGGTATGGGGTCCATAAGAAACATTTCATACATACATAGGTATTCTCTATCTGTGTGAAAATTCTCCACTTGTGTAAAAATTCTCCACATGTATAAATATTTTCATGTGTATAATGGCTCTCCACATGCACAGAAGTTTTTCACATGTATAAAAAAGTCCCCACATGCGTGAACATTCTCCACGTGTATGCAAAGTTCTCCACATGCACAAAAATTCCCCCACATGCATATCAATTCTCCACATGAAAAACTGAATTATCAAAGCTCTTTCTCACCCGAGTAGAATCCCAAGACTCTAAAGGTAGAGAGAATGAACCAGAAGAAGGATATAAACTCTCAAAGTCCCACCCCACAGTGATACACTTCCTGCTGCAAGGCTCCGCCTCCTAAAAAATTCCATAACCTTCTCGAATAGTGCCACTAGTGAGACCAAGGCTTCAAATACAGAAGCCTATCGGAGACATTTCTCATTTCCTTCATGTCACAACCAACAACATCAACAGATATTTCAGTAGGCAATAGTTTGAATGGCCAGAATTTCGTGAGAAATTAGGTGTTACTGTTACCCTGTTTTGCTAGTGTATTTACTGACACACGTAAAGAGTGTCCGAGTTGTTGACAGTGGTATCCTAGTGGTTACTTTTTTCTAAATACATTCCTACTGAATTTCATTCCTCTAGCCTATTTATGTATTTCTGGTTGTTGTTTCTGTGTTTGTCTGGACCTAAAATGCTTCGTTAGAATGGATTTTTAAATCTTTGGACCTGAAGAGAGGGCTCATGAATTAAGAGCTCACATTCTCTTCCCAAGGATCCAGGTTTGGCTCCCAGCACCTAGATCACACAGCTCACAATTGGCTATATGTCTAGTGACAAGGGGATCTGACCTACCTGATCATTCAAGGCACCAGCATTCACATGCTCAACTAGAAAGTGCCCACTAATTAGAATCCAAATAAGTTGACTTTTTGTTTGTTTTGGTTGGGTTTTTGTTGTTGTTGGTGGTGGTATTTTTTTTTTTTGGTTTCATAGTGGCCTAGTTAGAGTAGATTAATCCACTAGGTAAAAATTTTGAAATCCAGAGAAACACACACTTAATTAAAAGCAGGTTTTTTTAAAAAAGAAAGGATTTTTAACTCTTTAGATAAATATTGTTAAGTTTTAGTTATCCTTGAAGCACGGCTGAACATCCACCAGCAAATGTTAAAATCTGAGAAGCCCTTTTCCCCAAAGTTGTATCCCATGGCACATGACTCCCTGCTCAATTGTCACCTTGTCGCTACATCATAACTGTAACTTTTCTACTGTTATGAATTGTAATATAAATAGGATATTTGAACCCCCCCAAGGGGTCGTGACCCACAAGTTGAGAACCACCAATCCTAGCGCGTTTCCTATCGGCAGCTAGGTTGACTTCCCGAGTGTTTCTGTCTTTTCAGGTATCTCCTTTATCCAGCCACAATCAATACTCTCTTTATGAAAGGGTTGTTTCTCACAGACAAGAGGAAAATCAAGGAATTCTACCAGCATTTTATAGCCTACGACGAGGGCTTTGAGTACGGCTCCCAGCTGCCAGAATGGCTTCTGAGGTAGGGTGCCGTTCTGTGATTGGTTGTTTTCAGCAACATATTTACATTGTTATTTCTGTCTCTGCTATGTGTGTGCACAGGCGTGCTCGCCTTTGAGCATGAGTGTGGAGGCTAGAGGAGGATATCATCTGTCCTGCTCTGTCATCCTTGACCGTAGTTTTTTGAGACAGGGTCACTCACCATTTTAGCTGGACTGGCTGGTCAGTGAACCCTGCAACATTCTCCATCTCTGCATGGGGATTACAAACACATGCTACCGTGCTGGCTTTTATGTCATGCTGGTGATTTGAACCCACGTCCTTAAGTTTACACAACAAGCCTTTTACTTTCTGAGCTACCTTTCTAGCTTTCGTTTTCTCTTATTTATCTTCTACCTTTTTTTTTACGTTCATGTAAGTATAATGTATGTATGATATATGCAGGGGGGGATATACTGCACTTGCAGTGTGCATGTGTGAAGGATGAAGGTCGGCGGGTGGGTGGGGATGTTGGGTTTCGGTGCTTGCCTCCCAGCTTGTTTTAGACAGGGTCTAAACATCTCAGTATAATTCAGGTTAGTTGGCCAAGTTTCTAGGGATTCTGTCGTGTTCACCTCCCATCTCTCTGCAGGAATGCAGGGATTACACGTGAATGCTACCACAGCATCCAGATTCAGTTCTGGAGACTCAAATTCCTCTGGTCCTTAATAGTGTGTGGTAAGAGCTTTATCCACTGATTCCTAGTCCCAGTCATATTTCTTTCTCTTAAGTAGAGTAACATCAGCTGAGATGGAAAGAAGCTGTTTCTGTGACTTCTTTTTTGTAGTGGTCGTGGGAGGGCGTGCAGTGTTCTCACTACATAGCCTAAGCTGGCCCTGGAATTCATAGGCCCAGCTTACAGTGTGCTGGCTTTGCAGGAGTGTACTGTCTCACCAGACTCTATAGCCTGCTTATTTGTGTGTGTGTGTGTGAAGTGGAGGAACAAGAAGAGATAGACTTTTTTTATCTCACTCTATTCTTTTTTTTCCTCCTTCCTGCCTCTCTTTCTGTATTCCCTCTCCCTTCCTTTCTGAAAAACACTGTGTGTGTGTGTGTGTGTGTGTGTGTGTGTGTGTATGTGTATGTGTGTGTGTGTGTGTGTGACAGAGACAGAGACACAGAGAGACACACAGAGAGAAAGAGACAGAGAGAAGATGGCATGAGAAACGCATCTGAGGCCATTCCACTGTACAGTGTGTACCATTATTGACTTGATTCTGTCTGAATCATGCTGAATCAGCCCCCTCCTCTGTAAGGTCATAGTAGACGTGATCAAATGCATTTGGTACCATTGGCTCACATAAACATTTGTAACATACTGTGAAAAATAACTGCATTTTAAAAAGTATTTGGCGGGTGGTGGTGGTGCACACCGTTAATCCCAGCACTTGGGAGGCAGAGGCAGGTGGATTTCTGAGTTCGAGGCCAGCCTGGTCTACAGAGTGAGTTCCAGGACAGCCAGGGCTATACAGAGAAACCCTGTCTCGAAAAAACAAAAAACAAATAAAAAGTATTTGGTAATCGCTCTATGTTTTATCCTATTTAGATAGTCAAAGGTGACATGGACGAGTAGCTTATAAACAATAAAAATTTATTTTACATGTTTATGGAGGCTGTGATGTCCAAGATGAGGGTACCAGCAGGGTGGTTTCTGGGGAGTTTTTGTTTGTTTGTTTGTTTGTTTGTTTTCTGGTAGCAGACTGTCAGCTTCTGACTGTGCCTTCTGGGTGGCAGAGGCAATCAAGTGTTTTCCAGTGTTTTATAAAAGCACTAATTCCATTGATAAGGGGTTCATCCTATCAGGAAATAACTATGCTCAACATCCTGTTCCCTGATACAATCACCTGGGTGTTGAGATTTTCAGCGTTTGATTTTGCAGAGGACCCAGATCACCTGCAGTGGTGATGGTAATACCCAGAAAGGAATAAAATGACGGTCACTCATGGACTTGGCTCAGCATAGTCGACATCTGGCCTCTGTGTTGGACCTTCACCCTCTCTTTCCTGGAACAGGCACATTGAATATGAACCAAGCAATTGCTAACTATTTTCTCCTTTAATGGGAGTCCACTAAGAATCTTAGTAGCTACTTAAAAAGCCAGCGAAATGCATTGTCTTGACCCTCAGTTTTACCCATGGTCTTATAATTCAGGACTGAGCCTCTTCGGAAATTCTAACTGGAGGCCAAGAAGAAATCTGAGGAAAGTGTCCTACTCTCAGAGACCTTCTGTCCCTTTATATTCTTGTCCATCACCCTAAACACCCTTGCAAGTCACTGCTAATATGATTTGTTTTTCTTATGCAGAAAGTGGTCAAAATCCAAAAGATGGCTCCTAGCACTGTTTGAGAAAAATATTGAAGACATAAAAGCACATGAATCTTCAGAGCATTCTGAAGTAAGTGTCCTCTTCCTTCACTGAGATATATATGGTAAGCATAGGAATAAACAGTGATTATTACAAAACCATTGTTCCTAGGAAGTGTGTGGGATTGGATATGCTCAAGTGATACACTGGACATGCTTACATACACTACTTTATTGTTATTACCCCACAACACGAAGGTATTCTATTCCATAGGATAACAAAGCAGATGCTACAAACAACAGCAGCAACAAAATAAAACTTGGGAATTATAAAATTTATTCTCACAGTAGGCTGTGTCAAAGGGCACAATTACAATTTAACAGTCTTGATTGCTTTACAGTGTAGTTCTCCAGTTAGACAACTCCCTTATTCCATACACAGATGAAATATTCTCCTAGGCTGAGCAGAACAGGTTGGTTTTGTAGAACAGAGCTAGAGAAACATGAAATTCAGAGACAAACAACTTTTAAGACTGAGGACAGAGCAACAGAGCACTAACTGACTGGTTAAAACTGGATTATTCTGGTTACCCAAGGAGGTATGGAGCACAATGGATGCAGCTTCTCTATCGTTACTCTTGGCCTGTTTGAACAACGTCCACCTCTCACTCCTTTCCTCATCACTAAGAAGGTCACATAGCAACTTAGCTTCCGTCCAATGATATGAGACTTTGGTTTGAACAACTTTATATTGATTTTTTTTTTAATTGTTGCTTGGTTTCATTTTATTTTTCAGACAGGGTATATCACTATGGTGACCATGTAGCTAAGCTATAACCCATAAATTCCTGCTCCTCCTTCCTCAGCCTCCTGAGTACTGGGACTGTAGGGATAGGCCACCAAGCTTGGCATGCTTGAGCATTAGTGAAGTCTACTGGAATAAAAACAGTGGGTCCCTGTGGTGCTTTGAATAGATTTGGCTCCCCCAAGAGACTCAATGTGTGTGGATGCTTGGCCCACAAGAAGTAGCAATACTAGGAGGTGTGGCCTTGTCGGAGTAGGTGTGGCCTTGTCGGAGTAGGTGTGGCCTTGTCGGAGTAGGTGTGGCCTTGTCAGAGTAGGTGTGGCCTTGTCGGAGTAGGTGTGGCCTTGTTGGAGGAAGTTCAGCACCTTGAAGGCAGGCTTTGAGGTCTCCTAAGCTCAAGCCAGGCCTAGTGTAGCAGTCTCCTGCTGCCTGTAGATCAAGATGTAGAACGGTGTAGAACTCTCAGCTCCTTCTCCAGCACCATGTCTGCCTGCATGCTGCCCTGCTTTCTGCCATGATGATAATGAACCAAACCTCTGAAGTTGTAAGCCAGCTGCCCTTTGAAGCTTTCCTTTATAAGAGCTGCCGCGGTCATGTTGTCTCTTTGCAGCAATAAAACCCTCACTAACCCATGGCTCCAGCCGCATGCGTAGCAAAGGATGCTGTTGTCGGGCATCCGTGGGAGGAGAGGCTCTTGGTCCTGTGAAGGCTCGATGCCTCAGTGGAGGGAAAGGGAGACAGGAGTGAGTGGGCGGGTGGGAGAACACCCTCATAGAAGCAGGGGGTGGGGGGATGGGTTATGAGGTTTCCAGAGGGAAACCGGGAAAGAAAATAACATTTGAAATGTAAATAAAGAAAATATCAAAAAAAAAAAAGACAGCTTCTATACTTCTGTCAACATCTGTGTGGATAGTGAGACACAGGTGTGAGCAAACCAGGGAAGGATAATGAAACTCTGTAAAACAGACTCTGTTCCTGACTCCACTTCTACAAGTCGCTTCTCTCTGAATGCAAGGAGCTGGTCCCCTGTGAGTGACTTAAAGCATGAGGCAGGAGGAACGGTCCCTGGGGTTTATTCAGGAGCCATGAGTCTTCCAGTGTGATTGACAGTCTACCTGCATTACTTGGGGACCATGCTCACACTGCAGGAGCCCTGTGGCCGGGGTCCCCAGCTTTCCAGGCAACCCTGACGCTTGCTATGATGAGGTTTTTAACCCCTGACTGTGGCTAGAATCACTTCTTGGAACTGTTTTTTTTTTTTTTTGGTTTGTTTGTTTGTTTTTTGTTTGTTTTTTGTTTTTGTTTTTTTAAATCAGATCTGATTGCTGGGCCCTTTGCTCTCAGAGCCTGGCTTCCATTTGGCCTGGGTTGCTAGGTTTCTGATTCAGTCATCAGATATGTGATGTTACACACAGGACCTAACATCTAGACCTTACTTTTCTAATCTGCCCTGTAGAGCATTATGGGGATTAAATTGGTTAATTTTTGTAAAGGGCTTTGGACACAGTAAGGAGGAGATGAGAGCTTATTTTCAGTCACCATTTAAAAACTCATCTCTCGGGCTGGAGAGATGGCTCAGTGGTTAAGAACACTGACTGTTCTTCCAGAGGTCCTGAGTTCAATTCCCAGCAACCACATGGTGGCTCACAACCATCTGTAATGGGATCTGATGGATTCTGGTGTGTGTCTGATGATAGCTACAGTGTACTCATATAAATAATAATAAATAAATAATATTAAAAAACCCTCATCTCTCCATCTTCTGAGGTCTTCTCCAATTTCTTTCTTCAGAGACTTGAAATTCCTGTCACACAGATCTTTCACTTGCTTCGTTTGAGTTACAGGGAGCTATTTTATATTATTTGTGGCTATTATGAAGGATGTTGTTTCCATGATTTCTTTCTTAGACTATTCATAGTTTATATATAAGAAGGCTACTGATTATTTTTAATTAATCTCATACCCAGCTATAAGAGTTCTCTGGTAGAATTTTTGGGGTCACTTGTGTATACTATCATATCATTTGCAAATAGCAATACTTTGACTTCTTCCTTTCCAGTTTGTATCCCCTTGATCTCCTTTAGTTGTCTTATTGCTTTAGCTAGAACTTCAAGTACTATGTTGAATAAATATGGAGAGAGTGGGCAGCTTGTCTTGTCCCTGGGTTTAATAGAACTGATTTGAGTTTCTCTCTATGTAATTTGATGTTGGCTATAGGCTTGCTGCGAACCGTCTTTATTATGTTTATGTATGTCCCTTGTCAAAATGAGGACCAGAGTGCTATCCCCAGAACCTATGTAATAAAACTGGGCATGGATTCCAGTACTTAAAAATCCAGCACTGGTGGAAATAGAAAGTTCCCTGGAGCTCACTGGTCATACAGACTAGCCTAATCTTCTATCTGCAGGCCAATGCAAGACTCCATATTTTTTTTTAAAAGGGTGGGAGATGGCTCCTGATGAGTGCCGCTATCTTCTGACATCGACATATATCCACACACTTGTGTGTGCAAACCCATACCTATATATGCACCTGCACACCTGTAAATAAACATGCAGAGAATACATAGTCATTTAAAAACCAGGCCTGAAGATCTTTAATCCCAGCTATTCAGAAGGCTGGGGCAGGAGGATGGCAGGTTCAAGGCTTGCCTGGACAATCTAGTGAGAGACTGTCTCTGTCTTAGAGTTATACTTCTGTGAACAGACACTGTGACCAAGACAAGTCTTAAAAAGGACAATATTTAATTGGGCTAGCTTACAGGTTGGAGGTTCAGTCCATTATCATCAAGGTAGGAGCATGGCAGCATCTGGGCAGGCATGGTGCAGGCAGAGCTGAGAGTTCTACATCTTCATCTGAAGGCTACTAGTGGAAGACTGACTTCCTGGCAGCTAGGATGAGGGTCTTAAGCCCACACCCACAGTGACACACCTACTCCAACAAGGCCACACCTACTCCAACAGGACCACACGTCCTAATAGTGCCACTCCCTGGGCCAAACATATACAAACCATCACAGTCTTAAAATACAAAGAGGTGGCTATGGGTATGCTCAACAATAGAGTGATTTCCCAGCATGCTGAGGCTCTGTTTCCAATCTCTAGTACTGAAAAACAAACATCCCAAAGCAAATCGACATGACATATCAAATAGTTCAGCATTTAAAAAAGATGCAGAAAGCGTCTTATCTTAATTATATATTAAGTGTCACTAACAATGCTTCTTAACTCTAGAGAGGAAGACGGCCTCAGGAAAAAGAAATGTGTAAATGATGATTTCTGTTTTTTTTTTTTTTTTTTTAGTTTTTTCGAGACAGGGTTTCTCTGTGTATCTCTGGCTGTCCTGGAACTCACTCTGTAGACCAGGCTGGCCTCGAACTCAGAAATCCGCCTGCCTCTGCCTCCCAAGTGCTGGGATTAAAGGCGTGCGCCACCACCGCCCGGCATGATTTCTGTTTTTGATAGTCACTTTTAATTTTCAAACTAACATAGTCTTGAATCACCTGGAAAGAGTGCCTTAAGGAATGAGGGATTGTATGGTGGATATGACTCCCAGGGATTGTCTTAAGTACACTGTGGGTAGCACCATTCCCTAGGCAGAGGATCCCGAATTGTGTTATAGTGGAGAGAGCCTGCTGAGCACTAGGCCATATACTTTATGCTTTAGTCTTGGCTACGGATGCGACTAGCTGTTTAAAGTTGGACCACACAACCTGGAATTGTAAGCTAAAATCTTTTCTTTCCTAAAATGCTTTGTCTGTTTTTTTTTTTTTTAAATCCCAGCTACAGAAAATGAAACCAACACAAATATCTTTTTCCTTGTCTATGTATCCTTTCTGTCGCTGTGATAAACATCATGACCAAAGGAACTTAGGAGAGGAAAGCTTTTATTTCCTCTTATACTTCCAGGTCATAATCTATCATTGAGGGAAGTCAGGGCAAGAACTCAAGGCAGGACACTGGAGACAGGAGCCATTGAAGAAGTGCGCTTGCTGAAGGCTGGAGTCTATCACCTGCATTGCTTCCTTCTCAGTGGGCTGGGTCCTCCTATAGGAATTAACATAGTCAAGGCACAGATGCTTGAAATAGCTAGGCGTGATAGAGAGTAGCAGAAAATGAAATCCATAACTAAAATGATCAGTTCTGCTCTTCCATCATTATGGGCTCGTTAACGACACACCAGCTAATTAATATTCAGAGGTCAGCTGCTGTGTGTCTATCTCACAAAGCCATTTCTTGTTTTTTATAACAACTTTAATGCCAAGAAGATGGACTGATGGAGCTAACCAATCTGGAACACTTGTGACTTCATTAACAGCAGGTGACAGAGACAGCTCCATTTTGATCCTGCCTGTGCGTTCATTCCTTCCACACTGACTTTACTGCCGGTTTCCTCTCGTGAATACTGAATGTGAGCAAAAGTCGCTGCTTCTCAGAGCCATGGCTGACAGACAAATGAGCTAAACATTTGTAGAGACCTTAAAACTGTACTGTTCCCGGGCAAGCAGGGGACAGGCCAGAGCTCCTGTGTTGTTTCCTGTCACCTGTACTGAGTAAGTAAAGATTAAAAGCACATCCTGTGCCCAAGTTTCTGCCCTCTGGTGGAGAAGCTACTGTGGGCAAAATCAAATTAGAGAAACCTTGGAATAAAGTCAGGTCATAGGATTTCTGCAGCCGCCCGGGAACAACCAGCCTAGGTGGGCTCTGCTCTGCTCTGAGTTGGTTCCATTTAAGTTAAAATGTATCTGTCAGTTTGTTTTTCCAGGAGGTTGAACCTAGGTCCTCACAAATGCTAGGCATGTCCTCTGTTCCCGGGATTATTCCCTAGTTCTCCTTTTCGCTTTTTAGTTTGAGAAAGAAGTTCTCTAAGTTTCACTTGAACACACATTGTAGCCCAGACAGACTTTGAACTTGAGATTCTCCTGCTCTGCCCTTGCAAGTCTCTTGGTTATAACCCTGCACCACCAGGACTGACTACTTAATTTCTCTACGAGTGGAGATTGGCTTGTTCTAAAAGGGTAACATTTGGCTTGAGTCTAGTTCTTCTAGTGGAGTGCTTGTCTAGTGTGCAGGAAGACCCAGTTTCAATCTCTACCATTATATCATCATTGTCATCATCATCATCATCATCATCATCACCACCACCACCACCATAGTAACAGCTGGGTATGGTGGCACATGTCCTTAATCCTGGCCTTTGGAAGGCAGAAGCAGGTAGATCTCTGTGGGTTCAAGGCCAACCTTGACTACATAGTGAATTCCAGGTCAATCAGGGCTACCTAGGGAGACCTTGTCTCAAAACCCAAACATGGTATTTTTGAAGATACAAACTTCACAACTAACCAGTTGATCCCGGGGGATAGGGGAACCATGTTGGGGCTAAGGTTGTAGCTCAGTTAGGACAATTCTGGCCTAGCATGCTGAAAGCCCCAGGTTCATCCTGAATGAACCAGGCATGGTGCTACACTCCTGTAATCTCAGCCCTAAGGAGCAAGAGGCAGGAGAATCAGGAGCTCAAGGACACCATCAGCTACAGAGAAAGTGAATTTTCTTTCAAGTATTTTATTGACAACTGTGCTAGCTCATTTATTGTCAATTTTTAGGATGTAAGAACCATATCATGGTTGTCTTACGGATGAGGAAATCCAGTCAGTGTAATAGTGAGGTGATTTATACACTATCATTAATTTCCTTAATAGTGAAGCCAAAGGCAGAAATACAGCTAAGCTCCACCGGAGATCATGTTCCCCATTCCCGTGATACCACCCAGTGTACATGCGCCTTAGAATGTAGACACAGTATCTCCTGGACTTGAAGACAACTGAATGATTCCAGGGTCATGGCTCAGTCTAGGCAAAGTGCTTAAGGATCAAGCCAGAGAACCTGAATTTGGGATCCCCAGAATGCACATAAAAAAATAAAATCTGTGTGTAGAGACACCTGCCAGTAGCCATAGCACTGGGCAGAGGTTGGTGGATTCCTAACGCTCATTAGTCAGCCAGAGTAGCAGGACTAAAGAGCTTCAGGTTCAGCGAGAGACTCTGTCTGAAAAATAAACGTGGAACATGATGGAGGAAAGACACTCAGTGTTGACCTCTGACCTCCCTGTGCACATGCGCTTGCACACACACACACACACTGACAAATGTAGAGAACACCCTCAGAGGAAAAATAATAGAATGATTTCTTGTTTGTCGACATCAGTCTTTGTTACACAGCCGTGGTCTAACAATGGTCATTTCTCTCACAGACCCTCTTTCAGGCCATATTGGAATCTGTGGAGATGGAAACACGTCAACACAGCCCAAATTATGGACTGCTTATGCTTTGGGCTGCTCTGGCCAATGCTACTCCTGTAAGTACATGGGAGACAAGAGGCTCTCTTTCATCTGCTTAGTGTGTGTGTGTGTGTGTGTGTATTTATGGCAGTGGAATTGGATGTAAGAATATATATTTTAAAAAAGCAAATGCTTGATAGAAGATGACTAAGTGGTCCAGTGGGTGAAATGCTTGCCTCATGAGCTACAGGACCAGAGTTCATGAATCCTGGTGGGTGTGGCAGGCTGCCTACAATCCCAGTACTTGAGAGTTTGAGACCTGAGTTCCCTGGGACAAGCTGGCCAGCTAGCTAGGCCTACTCAGTGAACTGTGGGTTCATTGAGAAATCCTGTCTCAGTGAGGAAGGCATCTGACATCAACCCCTAGCTTCTACAGATAAAAGCATACATGTGCACACGTGTCTGCACAGAAACATATGCAGACACACCAGGCATACACACACATACACACACAGCATGTACGACACTCACATATAAGCATCAAGACCCCCACACTCCCCGCCAACCCACCCCCAAATATTAAAGGGGCAAAGTGTACATCCAGAGGGAATTCTTCCCCCTGGCACACAACTAGCCCAAGAAAAACCTTGCCCTTTGTGGTCCTCTGTGTACCGTTTAAGGACCCCTGACTTTGTTAGGCTGTATGCTCTGAGTGCTGTGCAGTCCTACTATGAACTAACTTAAAGCTAGGAGATCTATCTGCAGTTCCCTGCTTTGTCGGCTCGATTCCTTATGTTGCCTGAAATGTAAGAATGGCTGTCTGTGTATTCGTGTTTGAGGAAATAGGAACACTCAGCCCATCTCTGTTAACTGTGGTCATCTCCCCTCACCCTTTTCTTTAACAACTAGAAATAAAACCAATGTGTAAGTATCACACCTTTCTCCTCCCTGTTTCTGAAGGGGATCTCTAGGTCCCAATAACTCTACTTCTTTTAACCCGTTGTAAAGAACAGAGCACAGAGGCAGATATTCCAACACTGCTACTCAAACATATGTGCCACTTATGAGAATCTATATTTCATCAGTGCCACCCTAGTGAAGAACCTGTGCTTCCCCCTACTCTACATGCTCTGATATTCTTCTTTGACTCCTCTCAACTAACTGTGTGAGCTACATCAAAACTAAAGGGCAACTTCCCAAACATGCACACAACAGCCACAGTCAGAGGATTAGTTCTCAGGATCTCACCAGAAAGGTCCCCCTGAAGAAAGCCACACAAAGCGCTATTGATTCGGACACAGAGGTCTGTCCTTTGAGATTGGACCTGGCACTGGTCTGAAAGGACATGCCTGACGATGACTGAAAGATTCATCTTGCTGGACCTTCCTTGTTGGCACCTCCCAGAGGCAGGTTGTAGCAGGCGCAGAGACCTTGGAAAGGCCTTTGCATCAGATCCGAAGCCAGTTCCCATAGCTGGGTGACAGTGGGACACATAGTCCTTTAACCTCTCCCAGCCTGCACCCGTGTCCTCATCTCAACTGCCTCCAAGGATGATTGGGAGGATTTTACTGGAAATAATAAAAAGTACTTAACAAAATTGATGCTCATTAATTAAATGTGCTGCACATACAAACATCACCCTCGTTGAAATCAAAGGCCTCTTTCAATGGCCCATTAATAATGGATATAGACGGCCATGAGTCCCAAACGCTTGACTCCTGTCTTAGGTAGGTGTCTTAGGGTTTTTCCATTGCTGTGAAGAGACCCCATGACCAAGGCAACTCTTATAAAGGACAGAGCTTCTTGGACTGCTTACAGGTTCAGAAGCTCAGTCTATTATCATCATGGTAGGAAGCATGGCTCTAGGCAGGCATGATGCTGGAGGAGCTTGAGAGTTCTACATCTTCATCCAAAGGAAGCCAGGATCAGACTGTCCTCAGGAGGAGGGTCTCAAAGCCCACCCCCATAGTGACACACTTCCTCCAACTAGGCACACCTCCTAATAGTGCTACTCCTTGGGGCAAGCATATTCAGATCACCACAGTAAGGTTTTATTGCTGTGAAGAGGCACCATGACCATGACAACTCCTATAAAGGAAAACATTTAACTGGTCCTGACTTATAGTTCAGAGGTTTAGTCCATTTTCATCATGGTGATGTGCAGGCAGACGTGGCTCTGGGGAAAGGAGCTGAAAGTTCTACATCTGGGTCAGTAGATAGCAGGAAGAGATAAATGCCACACTTCCTTCAACAATGCCACACATACTCCAACAAGAACACCTCCTAAGAGTGCCATTCCTTATGAGCTTACGGAGGCCATTTTCTTTTAAACCACCACATTCCACACCCTGACCCCATAGGCTTGTAGCCATATCAAAATACAGAAATGCATTAAGTCCAACTTTAAAAGTCCCCATATTAGTCTCGACCCTATAAAAGTTCAAAGTCTCTTCTGAGACTCATGGCAATCTCTCAAATGCAATCTCCTGTGAAATCAAAATGAAAAGCAGATCACATACTTTCAACATACAATGACACAAAATAAACATTACCATTTCAAAAGGAAGGAAAAGAATCATAGTGAGGAAATACTAGACCAATGCAAGACCAAAAACCAACTGGGCAAATACCAAACTCTATGTCTATGTCATCTCCATGTCTAATGTCAAAGAGCTCCTCAGATCTCCAACTCTTTTTCACCTTTGTTGACTGCTACATGCTTCTCTCTCTTGGGCTGGTTCCACTCCTTGTTAGCAGCTTTCTTCAGTAGGTATCTCATGACTCTGGCATCTCCAACGTGTTGGGGTCTTCCAGGCAATCAAGGTTTCACCTTCACAGCTTCCCACAATGGCCTCTCTAGGCCTTCAGGCATGGATACCCTTGAAACACACCTCAGTGGCTTTCCTTAGTCATGGAGGGAGATTCCACAACTCTTTTCTTCTATCCTTAGCTCTAAAGTCAAAACCATGTGGCCCAAACTGCCAAGTTTTGCTGCTTACTAAGGTTAAAATATGGCCCCCTTGTTCAATTATGTCTTCACTAGTTTTATGTTTTCAGTGGTTTCCTTTATTGCCCAAGTTCAGATGTCCTGAAACTTAGATCAGGTTGGCCTTGGTCTCAAAAATCCACCTGCCACTGCCCCCAGAGTGCCAGGATTAAAGGCATAAACCACTACATTGGGACCTATACTTTTCTTACATTCCTTTTCACAAGTTGGAAGCTTAGCTGGGTGGGATCTTGCTCTGAGGTCACCACCCCTTTTATTCTATTTAACATCAGGGTTTTCTTTCATCTGTTTTTCCCCTTGAACACAGGATTTAGCTCTATTCCATTTCCTGGTACCTCTTTTCTCCTTGAATTATACATCTTGTATTTTTCCTTGCTTAGCTTGCTCCTTTTTTTATTATAGATCTTCATAAAGATGAGCCATAATAACCCCGCGACAGAGATAATACTAGGCTGTTTTGAGATTCCCTCTGCTAAAGCAATTAATCCCAAGCTCTTCAATTTAGACTCAAACAGATTTTTTTTTTGAAAAAGGGCAGAAAGCAACCATATTTTTCACCAAAATATTACAAGAAGTGTCTCTAGGCCACACACAAATACTCTGTTCCTCTGAAACATCATGAGCAGGGTCCCACAGTTCAAATCATCCTCCATACCACTGTCTTCCATGCTCCTAAGAGGATGACTAATTAAGCCCCACTTAAAGGGTTCAATTGAATTTCTAATCCAAAGTCAAGTCCATATTTCTCCAAACAAAAGCATGATCAGGCCTATTACAGTAATATCACACTTCTGGTATCAACTTCTGTCTTAGTTAGGGTTTTATTGCTGTGAAGAGATACCATGACCATGGCAACTCTTATGATGGAAAATAATTCATTGAGACTGGCTTATAGTTCAAAGGATTCCATTATCCTCATGGTGGGAAGCATGGTTGTGTGCAGGCAAACATGGTGCTGGAGAGGTAGCTGAGAGTTCTACATCTGGATCAGTAGGCAGCAGGAAGAGAAAGATGCCACACTGGGCCTGGCTCAAGCATCTGAGACCTCATGCCTACTCCAGTGACACATTTCCTCCAACAATACCCCACCTGCCCCAACAAGGTCACACCTCCTAATAGTGCCATTCCCCCATGAGCCACTATAATCCATCAATGGCCAGGAGGAGCCTGGCTCTTCTATCTTAGCTTTTAGGATCACCCATTTGTAAAGAAGCCCTAAGAGCTGTAAGTGGTGGGTGGGTGATTTCCTGGCCCAGGTAGGGTCAGTATTTCCTCTCTCCTACCTTGAACCCCATGGGACTCACAGCCTGTTCTTTAGATGAAATTGCTACCAGCCCACCAGGAGGCTTTGTTGTGACCTAGATGTGTTTTGACAGACCATCTCAAGGTGTTAATCATAGTTCATGAGATTATCTTGATAGAAAGGCCGTTTCCTAAGTGTAAGATGTTCCTGGCTAGAAAATGAACTGTTCTAGAACATTTTTTTCAATAAAAAGTCAGAAATACCAAAACTGACTTTGACCATTTTTATCTGCCGCTTCTCTGAAGTTCTGACCATGCCAAGCAGCCATTGTGGTCCTCATTTTTCTCAGAGTTAATGGCATGGCGGCCTATATATGACTGACAGAAGATTGTCTGGAATGTTATAGAGAAAAAAATGATCTAGGATAGCCATCACTTTGACTTTTAAATGAGTTCATTTCTTAGGTATAGAGACAAACCAGAGTAAAAGAATAAATAGCAAATGATGAACAGATGATGGATGGATGGATGGATGGATGGATGGATGGATGGATGGTTGGATGGATACAGACATAGAAAATCATCAAATCGGGCAGTCAAAACATCCAGCCGGAAATCAGTTGGGAAGCATTTTAAGATACCCAATGCCAGTTCCCCACAGAAAGAGTCTCAGCCAAAACAGTTCTCTCAAGTGAGGCTTCCAAGTAAAAGAACAGCAGCATAGAGAGATGACATCATCAGGTGCTCACAACACCTCTCAGAAATCAACGGGGGAGTTATGGCAGCTAGAGTTCCCAAACAAACTTGCTCGCCATGGGTGAGCTTGCTGTGGCTCTGTTTCCCTCTTCCCTTTCCTGCTGTATGAACGTTCACATTATGGGCTAAATTGTGGTAGCACCTGCTAGGAGTGCTTTACCTTTCTGCCTTTTCCAAGGGCACAGTGTTGTCTTGAGCGATTTTGCTGTCTGTTGTCTTTCTTCCCTGTCACAGAGTGAGAGGCCCTATTCCTCACACATGAGGGCTTCAAGCACTCATGACATTAACACACTGGGGTCTGAAGTAGGGGGACCAACCCCACTTCCAGGGCTAGCTACTCAGTAAGCTTAAATAGCAATTACCTTACATAGAGTGCTTCCTAGACTCCATTAGCATCCATGGCATCTCCTCTGGACGCTGTTGCAGGAATGCATAACTTATTGCCTGGGATGCAGCCAGCCTCAGAGCCTCCTTCCTCATCTCTTCCCAGCTTTGTTCTTAACTCCCCAACAAGTGGTTTTGTGTGGATGCTCTATATTTTAGTGATCAGGGGCTCTCCTTTCTGCATGGGAGAATGGACTTGACCCTTTTGGCATAATATTGTTACTCCATCCGGAAAGTAATTTTGAGATCCTTTTCCAAATGTGTCAGTGGCCTTAGGGCCACTTTTGCCTTTTGATTCAGTATTGCATAGACACATTTTTATTAACTCTTTACTATCTTTTCTTGTTTTTATTTTCTTTATTGAGACAATGTCCCAGGCTGGCCTTGAACTCATGATCCTTTTGCTTCAGTTTTCTAAGTAGAGTCTAGGATTTTAGGCATGTGCCACCTTGCCCAACACTTTTCTTAATTTTAAGAAGGACAAAAGTCATATCTTGTCTTTTTGGCTAAGGTGGGGTGTGATACAGTTTCTTATCAGTTTGATATCAGATACATCCTCTATTTGAGGACGACATCCTAAATCGACTTTTAGAGCTGGATGGAATGGAAGCTTTCTCTGACCACTCCATGCAGTGATCTGGTATCGCAGGAACTCTGGGGAACCCCTCTTGGGGAACTTCTGAAAGAAAGAAGTACTTCTTCTCTCTTAACTATTGTAGGGGAAGGCAAAGTCTCATGTAGTCACCTAGCCCAGGCTGGCCTCACTGGTTATGTCAGGAAGGATGGCTTTGAACTCCTTATGTCTTTTGCCTCCACATCCCGGGTGCTGGGATCGCCACCCTGTACCATTGTATGAAAAGTACACTGTTTTGTTTTAGTTTATTTCTTTTACTTTATATATGAGTGTTTTACATGCACATGTACGTACTATGTACATATCTAGTGCTTGTGGTGATCAGCTGATATCAGATTCCCCCTGGTAATGGACTTCTGGGTATTATAAGCTGCTACTTGGGTGCTGGGAACTGAACCCAGGTCCTCTGTGAGAGTAACAAGTACTGTTAATCTCTTAGCTGGCTCAACCATCTTCAAAAGTTCCGTCTTAAAGGTAGAAAACAGCAGACTTGAAAAGTGAGAAATCTGTGACGGGAACTAGGCGCTTGACAACATAGTGTAGCCATTTGTTACTGACCTGAATTCCATAAAAATAAATGGTACCCAGTTTTTGTAGTTCTCAAAACCAGTCAGGCACACAGGCCTCTGAGCCCTTCTTGTGTTGCTGAAGAACAAGGAGCATCATGGGAATTCTTTCCCAGCAAGGACTCTGACTTCAAATCTGATGAACGGAGCATAGAGTGATTATCAATCAAATCCAATAGCTTAGCACTTCCACGGGTTAGTTCACAGGAGAAAGAACCTGAGGAGGGACCCAAGAGAGAGAGGCCTGGGCACTGTGTGAAGCTGAGCTAGGGAATCTCAGGGCTGAACCCTTCCTAATCTGGATGCTGCCCTAGCATGTCTGCATGGCAGGTGTCTGGTCTTCTCGTTCCTGTGTGTGCTTCCAGCTTAATGCATCCTTCAATGCTGCACTTCCTTCATGACCACACGGGGGAGTAGTAAATCATTTCAAGGGACATCCTGTTTCACCAATGCAACAAAGAAACAAAAAAGACTTAAGTTATACAAAGTATTACCTCGGTCACCTCAGAATTGATTTCAAGAATAGTTTTTTTTCCTTGCTTTTGACACTTACAGTTATTTATTCTTCTTTACATTTTTCATTTTTCAGAATTTCATAGGTAAGTACTGTGTTTGCATTATTTCTTCCCTGCCGGTGTCCCCTGATTCTTCCTGTTCTCTCCTCCATTTCCTCAGGAGTTCATGATCTCTTTTTTTTTTTAACACAGCAGATGCTTATAGGAATAAAAGCAAAAGGAAAAATCCAAGCTTCTCAGGAGTTTATGCATCTCTGTGTTGTCTAGCCTTAGAAACAAAAGCTTCTGCCTCAGCAGGAAGCACATTTTTAAGAAATGAAGTTTTATCTTACACATCTTATACATAGGGAAGAGATGAAAGACTCTTTCTCATTCAAACTAATTTATTTTGGTAAATATTAAATGAAGAAAAACCATCTCCAAAAATACCTTAGCCCTTGAATAAAATCATAAGCATGAAGACTGTTATAGGGCATTTATTTGGGGGACAGAAGCGCAGGCAAAAAAAAAAAGCTAATTCACAGAAGCATTCAAAACTGGCTGGCCGAGTGATCCAGGGCAGAAGCAGGATTCTTAGCCGATCAAAAAGATGGATGTGGTATACTCAATAAGAGATATTTATAATTTATTACAGTTCCAATAGAGATCTTTGCTGTCCAATCTGTATGAGAAACAGCTGCATTCAGCTTGGTTTTAAAAGCCTAGGCTGAGGTTTCAAGCTCTTACGAATAGCAAGTAGGAAATCATTCATATATTACCTTGAGTTACCACTGAGCATTGAAAATTACATTATCTACCAAATAATCCTAATAGGCCAAAAAGAAAGATTTTACAGATGTGCTTGGGTGAGGTGTGACTTTATTTTTCTTGTAGCAAACTCTCATACTTTTTTAATTTTAATTTAATTTGGGGGAGTGCTGGATATTGAGCCCACAGTCGCCTTTGTCCATACAAGTGTCCAGCTCCTCATAATTTACTTAATGAGATTTGAGTGTGGCTTCCTAGGATTATTTATAATTATTATGCTTTATGTGCAAGTAGAAAATTTCCTGGTTCATTCTCACACATTCTCACACATAGTCTTGCTATATAGTCCTGGCTGCTATGACACTCATGTGCAAATCAAGTTGTTATCGAACTTGTGGCAATCCCCCTGCCTCTACTTCCCGAGTGCTGAGATTATACCTGTGTGCTACCACAGCCTGCTGCTCATTTGTATTTTAAGGAAATTAAATCATGACAGTATTTTCACGCTGTGTTCATATTCTTAAGTATCATGATTTGTTCTGAATATTTAATGTATGCCTACATGACATTTTATGTTGCTTGTTAGTAAACACAGTCCTGAACCTTCCCTAGTTCAGGAAATACACTCTCTATAAATACTATAGCTAAACGACAGCAAGAGTCAGCTGTAGATTTGACGTCTAAGAGGTATATGATACTGCTCTTGTTTATAAAATCCGGTTGTTTTGAGAGGTAATATTTTGTAGCATGCTTTAAAAAATGTTTTTCCCCTTTATTTTTATTTTATCTGTACGGGTATTTTACTGGCACATCTCAGCACCACATGTGTGCAATGCCCACGGAGGCCAGAAGAGGGCGCGGAATCCTCCAGAACTGAAATGACAGATGGCTGTGAGCTGTGATGTAGGTTTTGAGAATGGAACCTCTGCCCTTTGAAGGGCAGCCAGTGCTCCTGAGTGCTAAGCCATCTCTCCAGCTCGTAACAGTATGCTTTTGAGGTTGACTGGCACACTGTTCTTGCTTCTTTGAACTGTCTATAGCTAGCACTAGCTCTGCCCGCGTTCACCTCGTGAGACGGTTTCATGTAGTTTATGTTCCTCTTTTGCAGATGGCATTCTGGACACTCGCATATATCCTGTCTCACCCTGATCTCCACAGGACTATTTTGGAAAGCATATCCTCTGTGTTTGGCACTGCAGGTACTAAATTAATTTTCATAATCAAGGGCACGTTTAGTATATATGGGTTTGATCTCGAATGTCTACCATGTTTTAAAATCAGGGATCAGGACTGGTGACACGGCTCGGTTAGTAAGATGCTGGCTACAGAAGCATGAGGATCTACACTTGTTCAATCTCCAGCACCCACGTTTTGTGATAGACACTTCTAATCCTAGTGCTTAACATGTAAAACCATGGACCGTGATATGAATAGTTAAAAACAACTTGATTTTTTATTCAAAAGTTTATTATTGTATAAGATGTGATACCAGTTAAAGTTGTCTCTCCCTTGCCTCCTATACAATGACTAAAAATATCATTTTGGAAATATTTTGTTTGGAGTATTTTCCAAAGCCAAACAAACTTGACTAGCATGGGTACCTAAGCCCTGGTCATGCCACCCTGGAAGGCGAGCCCAGCAGTGCTATGCTTTTATCATGTGGTGATGTGAGCATTAGAATCATTGAGAACTAGCAGTGCTCACACTTGGGATTCCAGAAACAGACTGGTGAGTATGAGGAAAGGCCATTGTCCTACACAGAGCTTCAAGTCTGCAGAGTTAATCAGAAAGGTGCAAAAGCGTGTGTCTGCAGGTGGTTGAGCGTGTGTCTGCAGGTGGGTGTGCATCTGCAGGTGAGCATGTGTCTGCAGGTGAGCATGTGTCTGCAGGTAAGCATGTGTCTGCAGGTAAGCATGTGTCTGCAAGTGAGCGTGTGTCTGCAGGTGAGCATGTGTCTGCAGGTGAGCGTGTGTCTGCAGGTGATCCTGTGTCTGCAGGTAAGCATGTGTCGGCAGGTGAGCGTGTGTCTACAGGTGAGCATGTGTCTGCAGGTGAGCGTGTGTCTGCAGGTGATCCTGTGTCTGCAGGTGAGAGTGTGTCTGCAGGTAAGTGTGTGTCTTCAGGTGAGGATGCCTCTACAGATAAATAAACGAACGGCAAGCACCCTGACTCACACACTCTGCCCACATTTACTGATGTCTTTCCTGACATCAAGTTCTCTATAATCCTGGCCTTTGTAGAATACAAGGCCAGAATGAGAGTGGTGGGGACAATATGGAGAGCCCAAGAGACCCAGAGGTCACAACTGGAGAGTGACATTAATGTTGAGTGTCCGAAGACACAGCTCCAGTGTAAGGAGACAAACCCTTTTCTCCTTCTGTATGCTGACTTATTCTCAAAACTTGTTATTCTCTTTTAACAGAAAATCATTCCTTCAAACAGGGTTTCATGGTAATAGCTGTGCTGTACTGATGATTTCCATTTTAAGTCATTACTGTAGAATGGAAAACAACTCATAAAAATGTAAAACTTAAAAAAATATGTATATGGAGGGATCTCTGAATAAATAAAATAGTTCGAGAACCATCTATGGCTAAGTTATAGTAATGGCTCCGAAATTTAGATGTGAGGGAAACCAGAAGACCATAATATCCATGATCTATGCAAAGGAAGATGTCAAAGGAGGAATATTAGAATATGCTGTGTTATCAAGTATTCTTCAGAAAAACAGAACCAATAAGAAATGGTTGGATAGATGATAGGTTGTTAAATATATAATTAGATGATAAATGGCTAGATCTAGAAAGATACTTACTTTATATTTTTAAAGCTTATTTTTTTCTTTTAAATATACAGCTATTCATGTATCTGTGTGTGAGTATAAGCACGTGAGAGCAAGTGCCCACAGATGGGAGTCACGTCTCCTGTAGCCAGAGTTACAGGCAGTTGTGAGCCATCTGATGTGGGCGCTGGGAGCTGAACTTGGGTCCTTTGCAAGAGCAGCAGCGTGATCTCTTAACCACAGAGCCATCTCTCCAGCCCCTAGGAAGAGATGTGTTGTGAGAAATCGGTTGATGTGATTTCAGATCCTAATATTAATAGTACTTGTCATGTGTGCTCCCTGAAGTCAGTTCAGTGAGTTTAGTGGTTTCTTCAAAACTGAGCATAGATTCACTTAGACCGTGTGCCTCTTGTGTGCATGTCAGGCGATTTCAGCATCCCGCCAGCCATTGAGAATCCTGCCTTAGCGCCTGCCCTCTGCTTATGCGCAGCCTCATGGGCAGCCCCAGCAGGGAGCTTAGCCTGTTTTCAGAGCTTTCTTGAATGGCCTTTGCTTGTATAGGAATACAGACCTTGTCAGAGCCACTACAGACACCTGGGTCCCTAGACTTTGAGTCTTACCCTTGTTATTTACCTATCATCTGTCCCATCTCCTGTCCACTGCACTCGGGTGGCTGCAGAGGTGAACCTCTAAAGATGTTTCTCCCAGTACCCCTCAGAACAAAGATCCCCACTTGTCTGCTTTAGAAGTGTGGAAGACACGGACAGTTATTACACTCTTCTTGTCTATATTCTGAGAGGAAAGACAGTGATCAACGTAATACATAAATAAACTAAGACTGTTAGCAGGGGTCAAGTACTGTATAGAAAAAGACAACAGAGTTGGATGTGGACACACCAGTGCCAGGATGGGAAGGTGTGTTGATTAGGCCATCAGGTTCGGCCATATTGGTATGATGGATGAGAGCAAGGACTTGAAGCGGTTTGGGGTTAGACAGGTGGGAATCTAGAGGAAGAGGCAGCAGGGGTGACCACACTGTGTGCCCACAGGTTCAGCAGTTACGTTAAAAAGTTCTTGTCCTTTTACTCCACAGCAGAATGTGTAAGAAATAGATTCACCGTGTAAAGAGGAATTCTAAGGTTCCATCCGTCTCTACTGAGGTCTTTCTCTTTCCCCTGACAAGCATATGCCCTACCCCCACCCACTTTGTTTTTTTTTCTTATAAGAACTTGTCTAGTTCCTGACTTTAACTTTTTGTTTTACTTGGCTGTCTGCTCCCGAGTCATTTCTAGGAATTTCTAAACTGAAGAGCCTACTGATGGCAGATCACAGCAGACACTCTGGGGTGATGTGTCCTGTCCCGTCACTTTCCTCTCTCCCTTTTGTGATCCTGTGGTGACTTGTGCTCCTTTCTGTCCTGTGACTCTGTTTCCCAGCATCTGGCCCTGCTCCCTTCTCCAGATCTCTGGCTCTGCTTTGTCTCCCTCTATCGTCAGCAGGGTTTCCAGCAGGAGCTCACTCCTGCAGATCTAGGCTGGTTTTTTGTTTGTTTGTTTGTTTTGGTCTTAATAAATTGTTAAAATGTTATGAGGTTTCCAGAAAGGCTAGCCATGCTGTGCCAGGAAGGCATAGCCAGAAGCTGTGCTCCCAGCCAGGCCAAAGACTGTCTGGCAAGCCCAGAATGCCCACTAAAGCCAAGCACACAGTGATACTGGCAGGGGATACTAAATGACATTGTGTCCCTGGGAACTTCAGCCTGTGAAATCTGAAATTGATGCCAAGCAAGTCAAAATTTTAGTCTCCTTTTCTTCATGTCATTAGCTTTTCCCCCCACTTCCTGCTTCTTATCTTATTTTTTTATTCATGTGTAAGTATGTGTCCTTGTGTGTTGGTGTGTGTGTGTGTGTGTGTGTGTGTGTGTGTGCACTCCTGTGCTAGTACTTGTACAGAGAACACATACAGAGGCCAAAGGAGAGTGTCAGGTGCTCTCTGTCTAGTTCCATTTGTTCACTGTGGCAGGCTCTCTCACAGAGCTTGGAGCTTGTGTTCTCTCAGCTAGCCTGGAAGCCTGCAGTTCTCAAGCACCCCCCTGTCTCTACGTATTTTGGTGCTGGTGTGACAGGCATTCGCTGGACTCTGGGCTTACTGTGGTTCTGGAATCCAAACTCCAATCCTCCTGCTTGCACTGCAGGCTCTCTTAGCTTAGTCAAACCATCTCTCCAGCCCACAGCTGACAATTATAAACCAAAATGCAATGATTACCTGAATTCTCTGTGTGTTAACCAGAAACAAATGTTCATTCCCTTTATTGTTTTTTAAAAATTAAAGAATCCACAAAATGAAAGTTCAGTGAGACTTAAATTTTCTGTTTCAATGAAGTTTCCCCCAAATACTTTCTCCCATGAAGTGTCATCTATTCTCAGAAGGGTGAGCACTGCTTTGCCCACAGAACTGAAAAATAAAATTAAGTTACTTATCTCTTGGCTTTAAATTAAACTGTATATTAAATTGTATATTAGTTATTATTTATTCTTTCAAACATACTTTTTGTTTTGTTTTGATTTGATTTTGAGATAGGGTTTTCTGTGTATCCCAGGCTAGCCTTGAGCTCACAGGGAAGTCCAGGCTCACCTCAGATTTGCAGGAATCCTTCCAAGTGCAGAGAGCACAGGCTGTACCACCGGAGTGGCTGTTGGTTTGTTTGAATAGGCATCACACTCACGCACCACTGGGGCTTACTCCCCTCATCCTGGTGGAGCACTGACATCACTGTTTTGATGCTTCTTGAATCATCTATTCATTTCACGTGGCATTGTCTTCTCAAGGTAGCCGTGACGTACTGCTGACCACAAACCCCTAGTCAACTCCGCAGCTGCGCTCCTGTTCCATGGTAGGCGACCTAAAACAATCTGTGCCTTTAATATTTAGGTTCTGTGTCCACTGTGTTCGAGGCCATCTTCTTTCCTCGTTTAGGAGGTCCTCGATGGGAATTTGCCCATCAGCAATGCTTGCTCAGTCTTAACAGCAAGCAAACAGCTTTTGGTTTATATTATCAGCATTGTTATGTATTCACCCCATCTTATAACCATGGATCCGTTTGTTCACACCACCTCCCGTTTCTACTTATAATCTTATTATGCTTCATTCTAAGATGAGATTTATTGTTTAATTTTATGATTCTAATTTAACTACAACTTTTCCTCCCTCTAAACTCTCCCATACCCTCCTCTTCACTCTCCTTCAAATTCCTGGCTTCTTTTCTTCAAATGTTATTGCATGCATATATGTATTTGTGTCTACATATTTATTTAGTACCAAGAATATCCTATTGAGCCTATCTCCCCCCCAGCCCTTGTCGATTTTCAAGGAATAGGATTCATTAACACAAACACACCTAGGTTGGACTGATTTCCTTGA